CGCTGGCTGCGCGAGGCCCCCGCCGCTCCCGGCAACCGCGACCGAGGGAGAAGTGGCTGAGCCGCAGGCTTTACCATCTGATTTCCTGCGTCCGGAGGGGGCCTCCGCCTGCTCCAGAGCCGGAGGGGGCACATTCCCCAAGGCCGGGGGCTCTGCTCTTCCCGGGGGTGGCGCAGAGTCGGCCTTCCCCAGGGCCACTGGCTCCACCTTCCCGGAGGCAACAGGGCCTGCCTTTCCTGAGGCTCCAGGATCCTCCCTCTCCAGGGCCAGTGGCTGCTCCTTCTGCAGAGACGCAGCCTCTGCGTTTCCTGATGCAGTGGGGCCCTCGTGCTCAGGGCGCTTTGTGTCTGCGTTCCCCGAGGCCCCGGGGCCCACCTTTGTGGAGTTCACAGGATTCCCCTTCTCTGGAGGCCGAGCACCCACCTTTCCCTCGGGGCCGGCATCGGCTTTTCCCGTGGGTGCCAGGGCTGTTTTCCTTAGAGCTGGGGGCGCCACCATTCCTGAAGACGCGGAGTCCGCTTCCCCCCTGCTCCCAGGGTCCACCCTGCTCAGGGCGGGGTCCGCCTTCCCTGAGATGGTGGGACCCACCTTTCCAGAGGCCACAGGGCCTGCTCTCTCTGAGGACAGCGGCGCTGCTGTCCCCTCAGCCACTGCCCCAGTTTTTACAGAAGACGAGGGTCCCGCTGTTCCCAAGAACGTGGGGTCCCCTGGGACCGAGGGCACAGGGTCTGTCTTTCCTAAAGATTCAGGGTTCACTTTCCCAGCAGGCGATGTTTTTCTGTTTCCCACAGAAATAGGGGGGTCCACTTTTCGGGAAGACGCCGAGTCCTCCTTTTCTGGGGATACAGCTCCTGTCTTTCCCACGGATGCCAGTTCAGCCTGCCCGGGAGACAGGGGCTCTGGCTTTTCCGAGGACACAGGATCCACCTTCCCCAGAGGCACTGGGCCCACCTTGCTCAATGAGCCAGCGTCCGCCTGCCCAGCAGGCCCGGCTGTTATGCTCACAGACGTGGGAGCTCCCTTTCCTGAGGAGGCGGGCGCCATCATTCCCAGGAACCGAGGGTCCTCTTCTGTAGAGGACACCGTGTCCGCATTTCCCATGGATACAGGATCTGTCATCTCCACGGGCCGGCCCCTTCCTGTTGCCCCCGGAGCCACTGTTCCATGGGACACGGGCTCCATGTTGACCGGCGACCTTGGAGTCAGCATTGCCAAGGAGCCAGGATCTGTCTTTCCTGCAGCTGCAGGCGGGGCGGATTCCAGGGACCTGCGGTCCGCCTTCCCTGCGGACCCAGGGTCTCTCCTTCCCAAGGACACAAGATCTGCCTCGCCCGCCGGTGCAGAACCCACCTCTTCTGAGGACACAAGGAGCTTCTGTCCCGAACACCTGGGCTCCTCCTGTCTTGGGCACGCAGGGCCCACTTTGGCCGAGGATACAGGATCTTCCTTTTCTGGGGTTCCAGGATCCATCCTTCCAGAAGCCACCATATCCCCCTTTCCCAAGACGGCAGGCTCTGCCTTTCCTATGAACATGGGACCTGCCTTTCTCAAGGACCCGGCATCTTCCTTTTCTCTGCCAGTGGAATCTGCCTGCTTTGAAGGCGTGGAGTCCAGCTTCTCCAAGAACATAGGCTTTCTGCTCTCCAAGGATGAGGGGTCAGTTTTCGCCGAGGACACATGCTCTGGCTTCCCAGAGGAGGTGACTTCTGGTGTCCCTGAGATCGAGGCTCCAAGTGCTCCCACTGTCTCTTTCGTGGCTGCCTCTTGGGGAGGGATGCAGGTCAGGGATGGGCAGGCCAAACTCCTGCCAGGATCCTCAGAGCAGGAGGCCCCTTCCCCAGTTCCACTGGGGTTGCTGTGTCTAGAGTCCATGCTTGGGCTTGGGGCAGGGGTGTGCTTGGGGGGTTCAGGGCTGGCCTTTCGTGGGGAGGAGCAGTAATCCCTCATGGCCGGGCTCCCAGCCCCCAGGCTCCCATCCTGTGGGCAGCAGAGGGCTGTGGGCTGGGGTCCTCGAGGGCTGGGGTCCTTTCGAGGCCACTGGAGCCAGGCCGGTTCTTCAGCACTGTCCACCTGCCCTCATGGCCATGCTTCAGCCCCAGGCTGCTGTCGGGTTCTGAAACACAGAGAGAGTAGACTCAGACTCAGGGAGACCCAGCGGAGAAGAGCCTCCACCCGGGCCTCCTCTCTCACCCTCCTCCTCGCAGCCAGGCCTCCTCACCAGATTCTCTGCCCCCGTCTGGTCCCCTCATGCCCAGAGGGCCGGGGCTAAAAACACTAACCCATCCACATCACTGCCCTGCTTCCCTGCCCCCGGTGACCCTGATTTCCTAACATGGCATTCAAGGCCCTTCACCATTTGGCCACAGTCTAACTTTCAACTTGCATTACCATCACCCTTCCTTGTCAGCCCACCCCATGCTGTCTAGAAATTATGCTTTTGTCCTCTAGCCCAGGGGTCACAGACTCTGGGACTAGGTAGTAATTTAAATGAGGGAAGCAGGCTAAGTATAAAACAATAGGGAGTGGTGAAGACTGTAGCAAACCAGAGAGTGTATGCCCTGTCTGAGGGGAGAACCACTACTTCACCAGCCAAGTATTGTTCTGGAGAAATGCATCCTGGTAGTACCAGTGAGAAGTGGGAAATCCGGCACTTTAATGTAAAATGTCCTAATTAATTCAAGATTAAAAAAAAAAACACACCAACTACAACACTCTGGGGGCTAAACAAAATATGTCTGTAGGCTACCAGTTATGTCTGTGTAGGCCCTGGGGAGCTGTGAATAGTTTATAGTCTAAGAAGGGATATAGTCCAACATGTGTTTTCAAAGATTGCTCTGGAATGGCGTGGAGGCTGGAGCTGGAGGAGAGGGGCTGGCCAAGGCTTATGAGGAGGCTGGTCATTCATTGATTCAATCTCATTTATCCACTCCTTCATTCATTCACCCAGCCCCTCTCTGCAGCGGACCTGAGCAGCTGCAATGTCTAGATGAGAGGTACAGGAAAGGTCCTGGGGAATGGGAGTCGGCAGGATTGAGAGCTCTGAGGGAAAACTGACAGGAACCAGCTGGCTGTAGGGGGTGCTGATGGGGGTGGACCGCAGGATTCTGGCTGGGGGTGGGTGGGTTGCCAGGCAATGGTGCTGGGCAGGAGATGTGGGGAAAGGAGGAGTTGCGTTTTGGACAAGCCAAGTGTGTGGTACCTGGGGGACAGCCAGGGAGAGGATCTGGCAGGCGGCTGGGTCTGTGAGCATTTCGGTTCCATTACACACTCAGCAGCCAAAGCGAGCCTGAAGCCCGCTCTTCCTGCCCTCATCTCCGAAGCCACCTTGCTGCTTCTCGGGTCCAAATCCCTAGAGCCACCCTTAACTTTCTCCACAGCCCACATCCCATCCATCAGCAAAACATAATGGATCTGCCTTCAAAGTATACCCAGCCTCTGGCCGCCACCCTGAGCTTAACCCGGACCATCTCCCCCCGGATCAGCCCTGCTTTTTTCTTCACCCCAAGCAGCTCATTCTCAACACAGCAGCCAGAGGGATCGTAATAGGACTCAAGGCAGATCCTGTCCCTCCTGTGCTCAGAACCATGCAAGTGTCTCCTCAACCTTATGTGAAGTTAAAGTAACTTTCTTATAATGGCCCGTGAGACTCTGCATTTTCTGGCCCCAATACCACTCCCTCGATTATGCTGCTTTGGCCATACTGGCTGCCTGGCTGATCCTCGAACACCCCCTACCCCGGGGCCTTTGCACTGGCTGTCCTCTCTGCCTGGAATGCTTTTCTGCCCGATATCTGCATGGTCTGCTCCCTGTATAAAACAGCCTCCTCCCCGACACTGGCTGGAGCTCTGCATCTCCCTTGCCCTGCTCCAATTTTCTTCTCAGTACCTGTCACCATCCGACATATTACATTGGTTTATTGCTTATGACTTGGCTTTACCATGACGGCAGGTGGTGGGGGGGGAGGGGGTTGTTGCATGTACTGATGTATCCTCAGAGTCAAGAAAATGACTAGCAAGTAGTAAGCTAGTAGCTCCCAATAAATATTTATTGAATGAATGACTGAGTGATCTTTTAAGATGTTGGTCCAACCATGCGATTCCATGCAATTTACTTCCCCTGGCTCTTGCTGGGGAAGTAAATTGGCTGTAATCTTTTTGGAAGGACATTTATCAATTTCAGTGCACATAGCATCTGGGCCAGCACACCCACCTCCAGGGACGGCCTTGAAGACAGACTGGTGGTGTACGGAGGTGCAGGAGGACATGGATGGTGATGAGAAGAAAACCAAGAAGCGTGTTCAGAAAATGCAGGACAACCACTGGGACCCCTCATAGCTGTCAGAATGTGTGGAGTGAAGAGGAAAGATGCCCAGAATAAAATAAGTGAAAAAGCCAGGGGACAGCATGACCAGTGGGATCCCATGCATGTAGCCAAGGTAAAGGACAGACGCACATTTATGGTTTAGTTATGAAGAGAATGTTTCTAGAAGGAAACTCATGTAATTTTTAGTAGTGATTGCCTCTGGAAAGTGAGACCAGGGATTTGGAAATGGAAGAGATTTTTTTGTCTGGCCCTCTATAAAGTTTGAATTTGAGTTATGACTTTTTTATTTTTATTTCAGCAATGAAGAGAGAGAGAGAGAGAGAAACATCAATGATGACAGAGAACCATCGATAGGCTGCCTCCTGCATGCCCCACATTGGGGATTGAGCTTGCAACCTAGGCATGTGCCCTGACCAGGAATCGAGCCATGACCTCCTGGTTCATAGATTGACGCTCAACCACTGAGCCACACTAACCGGGTGAGTTATGACTTAAAAAAACAAATAAACAGGAAAGACAGAAACCTTTAATGACTCTCTACTACCTTTAGGGTCAAATCCAACTTCATAATGTGCTTTCAAGCCCCTGCAGACTTACTGACCTGCTGGGCTGTATCATTCATTATGTACTTCCTCCCCCAAAGCACATACATGCACGCACACGCATGTACACACCCATTTTCACTAGCACAGACATCCATTTCACTCAACCCCCCATATTCACGCACACACACACATACACCCATATTCACGCACACATATATATGCGTACCACCTCTCTGGGTTCCTCTATGGTTCACATCTCTCTCATCGTGGCCTCTACCCTCCTGCCTGGCTTTCATCAACCTCCTCCTCCCCTGTGAGCCTTCTCTGTCCGCCAGCTCCCTCAGGGTCCCACAGCCTCCAGTTTTCCCCTAACCAGACTCATGTCACTCTGCACTTACACCTCCGGGTCTCCGCCTAGACTTAGGTCCCTGGATGGGGACATAGCTCCTACTGTTCACCACTGGGTCCGCAGGCTTTGGGCTTATGGGACTCGAAGTGGTGGGGGAGGGCTCATCACCAAAGTGGGGACACAGGGGGAGGGGTAGTCTTACAGACAATGGTGGGCACTGGGTCTTGGGAAGGTGAACTGGGTGGCTGTGGGACTTATGGGGGAACGTACAGGAGCAGCTGTGAGATAGGATTTTGTTGTTGTTGTTGTTAATCCTCACCCCAGGATATTTTTTCCATTGATTTTGTTTTTTTGAGAGAGTGGAAGGGAAGCCGGGAGGGAGGGCAAGATGGAGGGAGGGAGGGCAAGGTGGAGGGAGGAAGGGAAGGAGAGAGAGAGAGAGAGAGAGAGAGAGAGAGAGAGAGAGAGAGAGAAACATCAATGTAAGGGAGACACATTCATTGATTGCCTCTGGCATGTGTCCCAACCAGGGTTGGGGATAGAACCTGCAACCCAGGCATGTGCCCTTGATCAGGAACTGAACTTGCAACCCTTCAGTGCACGGGCCAACACTCTAACTACTGAGAAACATTGGCCAGGGCTCTGAGATAGATTTGAAGCACCAGAGAGGTCTGGCTGGAATTCTTTGGATCTGGTTTTTAGCAGCATAAAAAAAAGAATGAGTTGGAAGGTCACTGGCCCACAAGGGTCAAGCAGGCATCAGATTTGAGTGGTATGGACTGTGTCCATCTTCATTTTTTGGCTCTAGATGGTGAAATGGGCACAGGGAAGTATTTTTCTCCCATAAGAAAAACAGCAGAGTAAGTAAGATGATTCAAGACTCCTGATTGAAGTGGGAATGGTGGGGACTGTGGTAAACTAGAGAGCAATCGCCCCTTCTAGCACTAAGTTCTACTAGCTGATTAGGAATTCATTTATTCTTATTTTTTTAGAGGGGGGGGAGAAGAAGAAGAAGGAGAAAAGAAAAGAGAGGAGAGGAGAAGAAAAGAGAAAGAAGAGAAGAGAAGAGGAGAGAAGAGAGAGAAACATTGATGTGAGAGAGATACATCAATCAGTTGCCTCCCCTACACGCTCTGACTGGGGTTTGAAGCCACAACCCAGGTATGTCCCTGACTGAGAATCGAACCTGCGACCTTCTGGTGCACAGGACGATGCTCCAATCAACCCCACTGGCCAGGGCAGGAATTCATTTATTAATCCACATATGCGTTGTTCTTGGTACTAGGGATACAGCAGTGAATAAGAAACGCATGGTCCCTGCCTTCCAGGTGTGGAAAGATTGGGGGACAAGCAATCCACAAGTAAACAAATAAATCATGTAATTTCAAATAATAATAGATGCTGTGAAGACAAAGGAGTGGGCGGCTGGTTTAACACATGCTTGAGGAAGGCCCCTCTGAGGAGGTAACAGCTGAGGCAGCCATGAAAGGCCTGGGGGGCTGGAGTGGAATTGGAAGGGGGAGAAGTAGGAGGCAGGTGGGAGCCCAGCATGCAGGCCATGGGGGAGAGGCGAGGGCTTATCCTAAGGGTACTGGGAACCCCTGGAGTGTCTTAAGCAGGGAAGTAAAGGTAGCTCTTGCGTGGCCAGCTCTCATTTTTTGAGCAAAGTCATCAACTTGGATTTTTCTATATTTTAAATGTTGCTTAATTTAAAAAATACTACACAGGCCAGAGAACTCACTTTTGCGGGCCAGTGTTGACCCCTAGGTCACTTGCTTGAGACCTCTGATCTATCTGGTCCTTTGGGCTATAGAAAAGGATGTAATAAGCCAGGTAGACTGGGTGGATGGCCACGAAAGAGAGGGCCCAAGTTCTGGAGAGGGCTGGGTCTGCCTGCCACGCCCCCTCTCAGAACCTCAGTTTCCTCTTCTGGAAAATGGGAATTCAATAGCTGCCTGGCAGGTGTAGGGGGAGCTGGGGATGGAGCTGGAGGGAGTTAACAAGGCTGTAGGAGGGGTGCTCTGAGTCCTCACTACCCCTTATCTCACCCTGAGTAGCCCAGCCCTGGGTCCCCTCACACTAGTCCCTCCAACAAGCTCCCTCCCCCTGGGTGTGGCCTAGCAGGAAGACAGGACAGCTCCCCAGTTACCAGCTCTGTGACCTTAGGTAAGTCCCTTCTTCTCACTGGGGACCCTGGCAAACCCACCCCCTGCTCCCACAGGGCTGTTGTGAGAATTAACGAAGATGAGAGGTGTGCGCAGCTCTGCACTTTGGGGCTGGCTGTGTCTGTGGAAGGCCTGTTTTTATCTACTCAGCCTGTCAGCGCCCAGCTGTGCTCCCGGGAGGGGGCAGGGGAGGGAGGGCCTGCAGCAGAGGCACAGACCGGCAAACCCAGTCCTCAGCTACGCTTGTTTGACCCAGAGTGCTAAAACATTTTTTTAAAAAAGGAATTAACTTCTAAAAGTTAGAGGATTTCATGTGAAAACCATATTTCCAGGTCCTCTTGGAAAACTAAAAATTGGCAATCTGAGCGTGCTTTCTGCATGGCAACAGTCAGCAGGAGCCAAGCAGTGGCTGCCTCGTTAGATGGAGGTGTAGTCTCTAATTAGCCACAATTGCCAGCCCTCCCTGTGGGGTCCTGCACATAGGGCTGATGTTGGTTGCCATGGGTCACTGTATTTGTACCATCATTTTCCTCATAGCCAGCCTCTCATGTACGTTATCCATCTAGCCTGTAGCCACCTGAGTTTTGACCCTTGACTAGATAGAAAGGTGGGAAGTGACCTCACACACAAGGCCCCGTGTTTATGTGCAGACCCCGGACATCGGCCATGCAGGTGTTGTGTTCTTACTTTTCAGGGAGGAAACTGAGGTCCTGAGAGGCAGGCAGGGCCTAGCTGGTAACATGCCCCTTCCGAAAGGCCCACCTGGAAGAGGCTGGTGTCTCCGTTCCCAGCTCAAGGTTCTTGGACTTGGGATCAGTTTTGGGATAGGGACAGAGAGCCTGGCCAGGGTCAGAAAGATGTGGGGTCA